CCCCTCTCTCTTCCTCAAGGTGGGGTAGGTGAGGGGGTGAGGGGACTGGGGAGACTAACACAGAGGAAAAAAAATTCTCCCAGAGGCAGTGGGAGAGAGCTGAGAAGACTGGAGCCAGCCCCACCCAACACGACCCAGCTAATGCTTTCTACCCAAATTGCCTCATTTCCAGAGCGGTTCTACCACTTACTAGCTGTGTGTGTCGCCTTGAAGTTCTCATCTGTGAAATGGGGCAGTTTCCTAAAATACACCCGATTTTGCAAGACATGTGTCACAGTTTATAGTTACAGCTACAGTATGACAGGGAGGTGCTATAGTCCCCGTTTTACACAAGGAGAAAGGGTGTCTCAGGGGATCTAAATAGCTCATCTTTAGTGCCACAGTTACTGTATTAGTTTCCTAGGGCTGCCTTAACAAGTTACCACACACTTGGTGGCTTACAACGAAACTGTGTCCTCTCACTGTCCTGGAGGCCCTGCGGGAAGACCTGTCCCATGCTCCTTCCAGCTCTGGTGGCTGCACACGTCCCTTGGGTTGGGCTGTGGAATTCCAGTCTCTGCTGCTGTCTTCACAGGGCCCTCTCCTGTCTTCCTGAGTTATTTCCTCTTACAGAGACAGTATTAGATTTAGGACCCACCTGCGTAATACAGAAAGATTTCGTCTCAAGATCCTTAACCATCTGCAAAGACCCTTTTTCTGAATAAGGTCACAGTCGCAGGTTCTGGGGGTTAGGACTTGGACATACCTTATCGGGGTCACCATTCAACCCACCACAGTTGCCCATAGCCATGCTGTCTCCAGGCTGAGCGTTGACCCACCACACGAGACTGTTCCCTGACTGCTCCCCTGCTTTCCTGCTCTTCCTGAGCCAGCTGGGGCAGCCAGGGCTGTGTGCCCCCAGGGTCTTGCTCAGTTCATGGTGCAGCCTTGACACTTCACAAATATTTTGTGATAAAATGAATAAATGAGGATGTTTCAGATGGGTTGGAATGGAGGTTTTGATGAGAAACGTGAATAGACCGCCATCTTCGTTCACCACCAATCAGGCCTCTGGACTTTAATGCAGGGTATTCAGCGAAGCCTCACTGAGCGGACATCAGAGGAACATCCAGAAGGCAGTGAGGGGATTGGCTATGCAGATGCTGGCAATGAGAATATTACAAGCAGAGGAACAGCTGGCACAAAACAAAAAAACAAACAAACAAACAAAAGCCCCTAAGACAGGAGCATGCCCAGCTTGTTCCAGGAAATGCAAGGCGCCACAGACTGGAGTGTGCAAAGCAGAAGGAGATGCAGGGGAGAGGTATGGAGACCCGAGCAGGTAGAGCCTGGGAGGTGAGTGCAAAGACTCAGGGCTTTCTTCTGAATGAAGTGGGGACACATTGGACGGTTTTGAACAGAGAAGTGGTATGACTGACATTTTAAAAGCATCCCTCCTGCTCTGTTGAGAACGGACCGAGGCAAGGCAAAGGTGTGCATGGGAAGGCTGGCTCTGAGGCTACTGCAGTAACCCAGGCAACAGACGATGGTGGTGTAGGCTCGACAGGGGCAGGGGTGGCAGTGAGAAGTGGCCGGGTCTTGGACATACTTCAGACACAGGTAGAGCTCATGGGACTTTTGGACAGATTGGCAAATGGAGGAGAGAGAAAGAGGAGTTGAGGAAGACTCAGAGCTTTTGCCTGAACAACTGGAAGGATAAAGAAGGGCAGGGTGGGGCAGGACCGCTCTGTTTTGTGGAGATCAGGACTCCCATTTGGGGCATGTTAAATTTAAGGAGTCTTATGGGCATGCAGCAGCCTCTGGACAGGTGTGTCTGGGGTTCAAGGGAGAAGTTGAGACTGGACTTTTAAATTGGAAAGCCCCAAGCATATAGACAATGCTTAAGGTCTGAGACTGGGGGAGATTATCCCGGAGAGGCAGGGACCAAACCCAGAGCCTCCAAAAGGAAGAGGCTGGAGAAACAGAGAAAGAGCAGCCAGGACAGAAGTGGAAGCCAAAAGTCTGAGATGCACTAGAAGCCAAGTGAGAGGCAGAGTGGGATCAGTTGCATCGATGCAGCAGCACCGGCCTCAGAGGGCAGCTATGAGAGTTACACATGTTCACACCTTGCAAGAAAGTAGAACAACACCTGGTATGTTGTAAACCATCAATACTTATTTATTATTGACTGTGAGGACCACGCAAGTAGACCTGATAAATACCTAGATAGAGGCAATGTCTAGACTGGCGACCTCACTATCATTAACTCCTTTAGCTAACATGCCCTGAGCTTGTATCATGTGTCAGACACTGGCCTGGGAGCAAGGAAACAGGTAAGTAAAACATACCCACCATCTCCTCGTATGCTAGAAGGCTGCCAAGATATCGTGAAAGCAGAGCACAAGCTTTACACGATTGTTCTTACTGTCTAGTCAGGTATACAGTAATCATTTTCACAAGATACATAGCTCTAGATTTATGAGAGACATAAATGAAGCCATATGCATAATTAAGAATGGTATATAGTAAATATACGTCAAAGCTAAGTACAAATATGTGTTTTCATTCCAGATAGAGGGATCAGTTTAGAAGTTTCTCAAAAAACTACAGATAGAACTACCATATGATCTAACAATCCCACTCCTGTGTACATACCCATAGGACAGGAAGTTAATACATTGAAGAGATGTTTGCACTCCTATATTTACTGCAGCATTATTCACAACAGCCAAGATATGCAATCAGCCCAAGTATCCATCAACAAATGAATTGGTCAAGAAATGGTGATATATATACACAATTCTATTCAGGCATAAAAAAGAAAGAAATTCTGTCGTTTGTGACACCATGGATGAGCCTGGAGGGCATTATGTGAAGTGAAATAAGTCAGGCAGTTTCTTTGTTTGTTTGTTTTTAACATTTTCTTGTATGTTTTGTGGGGAACAGTGCGCTGTTTCAGTACATGCACATAC